CTGCGACATAAAGGCTTCTTTGAAACTTCCACGGATGACAGTATTTGTATCTGGTCAAGTAGAGACTTCCGTCTACCTTTAATAGGTCAGTGTTTCAGTTACTGCTGCCACTGAATTACCAACTTGCTATCACTTGCCTCTTATTTCCATGAAAAAAGAAAAGGAGAGGGAAAATCTTAAACAAGGTAACATGAGCGTTTTTTGTGACTCTGTAAACTAAATACATAAATAAAGGCAACGGAAGGAAACTGAGGGAAGGGAACCAAATGTGAATGATGAGAACATGGATGTCACTAAGTGAAGGAAACAAGCAGAAAGCTGGGGAAACGTTGCTCTAGAATATACTAAATGCCAGGGAAGAGATAAACATGTTGATATTTTAGCTATTCAGAAAACCTGAATGAGCAAGTGATACTACAGCAAACAGCTGTTCAGTAATTATTTTTGCCCTTCCCTTCTCCCCTTCAGAAAATAAAAGCAGCAGCAAGGGAATCCTTTTTTTAAAGAACAACCCTAAGATCTGGTCAAAGGCTCATACAATTCCCAGCACACTATAAATCAGTATAGCAAAAGCCTAAAGTGTTTGTCTCAACAGTCTCAGATTCCTTGGGCCTTCCCAAATCAATTCTTTTTTGGCTCCATTCTCTTTACTGTCATCTGCTAGAGAGCACTGCCAGAGAACTTGTACTATGCACTCAGTTAATTCTGAAAAAGGGTGCTGTCTGGCCAAAGTCTGCCATGACTGGAGTATATGTTGAAATGGCAGCAGTCCCCGCTCCAGAGGCTTGGACTGGACGCTAGACTTGTCCCTGCCATCGGATTAAGAGGGCATTTTGAGAGGGCAAGCCTGTATTTTAACTGACCTACCTGACTGCATCTCAGGAGTTTAACAGCACATGGCAGCACCTGGATATTAATGCACCACCCTCATTTCCTGGGCTGCTTCCTCCAACACTTTCACCAAACTTTCTGCAAAAGGCAGCCCACTTGAGGCCAAGCAATTGGCTTCCATTAAATGAAGGCTATTAGCGCCAGTTCCAACTGGAGGGTGAGTCAGCTCCCTGCCGCCAAAGTAGCCTTCCTGTCGGTCTCAGAAGCCGGAACCAGGGTGGGTGTTTCAAAAAGGCAGAGGGCAATCCCTGGGCCACACCCTGGACTGCCTATTATTAAGTGAAGTGGCAGGCACCACTCCATGGCTCCAACCGGATCTCAGAAGGCCCTGCACGCCCTGGCCATGCTCCCATACCTCACCTCTTCTTCAGGCAGTAAAGTCATGTTCTAAAACACATTTGGGGAGAACAGAGTGCTAGCAGCTGCCCCTACCCCTCTCCTTGTTTTTAGATGATAATTGAGTTTGGTTAGTTTTTTATTTTTTGTAAGTATGTTATTCAATTTTGAAAACTGCTAAGGACCTGTTAGTCTTAGCCAGATCCTAAGAGGCAAGCAATTAGAGTAATGGAACAAAATAACAGATGGCTACTTTGGGGCCTCCATCATTGGCCTTTTAAAAAAAAATACTTGGAGAAAAACAAAACACCACTGAACTTTTCAAATAATTAACTCACACCTAATACAGCTGAAGCCAAAGGTCAGAGTCTAAACGCTGAAGCCCCTGTAAATAGTGATGTTTCGATGAACACGAAAGCTTAGCAAGCGAGGCATTTCTTCTGGCTGTGATGAGAAGTCTGGGCATAACTATCAAGAGGTCTCACCCTTCCAGGACAGCAGAGGGTGGCAAGGCCACCCATGACCCCTTTTAGAAACTGGGAGAGGGAACTGTGGCCCAGAAGTATAATTGCTTAAGAATTTGACCAGGGCTCCTCCGTCTGCCCAGGAGAATACTTACGGCCCTCCCGCGTAAAAACTGTTGCATAACCTACTTACTGGATAACGCCTTGGTTACAGGGGTCTCCAGAAGTCAGAGCAAAGGGCTTCCAGGTAGAAGTGAGATACAAACGCCCTCTGACTTGGGCCAACTCTTGCTTAATTCCCGAAAGAATTAAACGCTACCCACTTTAAGGGCCTACAGCTGTTCTGGTCACAGATTTTTTTTTTTTAATGTACGCACAGGACACTCATAGGACTGTCACTCTCCCTATGTCCAGTGGCTCAGCTTTGGAGAGGCAAGAAGGGCACCCTGTCACTCACTAAAGTGACACTGCAACATAGAAAAATCCCAGCCAGCCTGTTGGAGGTGGAGGGGAGAGGGTCTCTTGGAAGGCAGGGAGGGAACAGCACAGATTGGTGAATTCCTTTCCACTACTCCTCCCCCCATTTCATAAAGAATCCCTAGCCCACAACGGGAAAGGGCACAGAAGTGAAACAATCCTCCCGCCCCAAAAAAACATAGCTGCGTGTAAATATTTGCTGGAGTAGCAGGACGTACTAGAACCTGGCCCGTACTGACAATCTAAAGCAGCTGGAATTAGAGGACACCGTCACCCACCCTTTTCCTCAGCCCCGCCTGGCCCTGGAGGAGCTGGGAGCTAAGGGGAGGGAGAGTTACACAGGGCAGCAAGGTGTTGGGGTTCCAGGGACTCCATGTTCCCACCCAGGTGCCTGAGTGGTGCCCAGCCTCACCCTGAGGGCAGGGGACACCACAACCTCGAGCAGAACGAGCACACGCCCTAACTCCCAGTAGGGAGTGGAACTGAGCTAGCAAAAGGAGTCACTTGGGGAAGGGCAGAAGACAGGAAGGGAGGGAAAGGGAAGGTTCCCCACCCCCGTCACCGGAGAAAAAAGGGTGAGGAGCTCATTCTCTCCAGTACCTACAGCCAGAGAAGACAGATCCTAGACAGCCCCAAACACAAAGCGGTGGTCCCCAGTTCCCCTCCCAACTTTCCAAGTCTCTTGGCAACCCTAAACCTTTTCCAACCTGGCGCTGCCTCAGGCAACACGTTATTGTCCAGACTCCAGACTAGATCTCCCCTTCCCATCAAAAGCATTTTTGTGTCAGCTATCTCAGGGTGCCCACCCCAAGGCAGGTGGGGCAGCGGATAAGCACACCACTCCCAGCAAGCCCTGCCGCCTCCCACTCCCCCCCCATTGCTACTGAGGAGGAAATTCAAGCAGACACTGGTAATTTACCCAAGGTTAAACCACCTCAGCTGCCTTGGAACTGCTGCTCCTTCCATACTGGGCTACCTGTGCACCAACTCACACCCTCCAGAGACTTCCAGCCACACGCTCCGCTTTCTTCCCTCAGCTCACCACTCAAGCCCCTTCTGTCGGCCCCCATGTTCCTGAAACAGCTCCAGCAAACCCACTCTCCCAAGTCCTGAGAGCCAAAGTCCCAACTCCATACACGTCCATCTTTATAGAGCCACCCTTCGATCCCTTCTCATTTTACAGATGACAGAACTGCAATGAGAGATCAAGGGTCTTGCCCAAGGCCACAGAGCTAATTAGTAACAAATCTGGCAAGAAAATCCAGATCTCCGGATCCCATTTAATATGCCTCTAACTTCAAGTACCTCCCACCCTCTTCACACACACTCCTGAACCCCCTCCCCGACGCCCACTCAACACACTCCTCTAGCTCTCACTGCACACACTCCAACTCTCTCTTAAATCGACTCAGAGCTCGCCCCCCCACATTGGATTATTCCCCCCACACACCCTAACACCTTCCCTGGGCCTCCCACTCTACTTCTGATCTCCCTTTCACTCCTGTGGGTCCCTCCTAAGTTGCTTCCACACCCCAACGTGCCACCTGAAAACAGACTCTGCGCTAGGATCCTTTCACCTGCCTTTCTCTCCAAAAAGACACAATTCTTCCTGGACACTCTTCCTCCCAAAACTCCTTATTTTCCCTTTACAACACATATATGCTCTCCAGTCCCAGGACTGCATTTCCAGAAGCACCCCCCCCAATTCCTTTCTCAGTCTATGCATCACACATTCCCTCCCTAATGAGACTTTCATTTTCCTAAACTAACCTCCCTCCCATTATCCGCCATTCCAGCTCACGCTCCCTCCCACCGTTCTCACCTTTCCCAGACTGTTTCTTCCTCAGGATCCTCCACCCTTTGCTGAGCTTTTCAAACTCCCATCCATTCTTCAGAAACCCTCTTCGGAATACCCCCAATACTCTCTGTATCCCCCTTCGGCTTCTCTGACCCTCATCAATTCCTCATTCCTCCTATCTCCCAATCCTTCTCCTCTTCCCTTTGAAACAGGGGACCCCAAATCAATCCCACCCTCTTCAAAAACATCTTATTCGCAGGCCCCTTAACGACTCCCGTCAGTATCCCACCCTCTTCAGGGCCCCTAGTCCCGCCAGACCTCCTGAGCACGCCTGCCCTTCCTCACACCCTAAAGCCCTTGTCTTTTCAGACCCAATTCTGTCCTTTCATCTTCTCGGCCTCCCTAATCCTCCCACCCCCTCTTCAGATTCCACAATCCCTTTCCTGGTACCCCCACTCCATCTTTAGACTTCTGATTGTTCATCTCCTTTAGAACGCCTCCAACCTAAGGCTTCCCTAATTCCAATCTTCTTCAGATCTTTCTTCACTCCAAATAACCCCCTCCATGTTTGAGATCCTCTCCTGACTTCCCAAACCCCTAATTTTGCCCTCACCCACAAATTCCCTTCCCACATTCCCTCGCTTCTCCTTCCAGCACTCCCAACCCACCCTCTGACCCTTCAATCCCGCCTCAGATCCCAATTCCATTTTAACCTCCCCCACCGCCTCCTCTGTTCCCCCTAATTGCCCTCCCAGACCCTCCAAATCCTTCACCAGGCTTCCTGATTCCTTTTTTTAGCCTCCCACATTCCCTGCTCGGCCGCCAATTATTTTTTCAGGTTCCCAATTCCTTCCTGGAGCTCAGCGATTCCTTTTCCAACTCCAAATCCCTCCTCAGACCCGCCAATTCCTTCTCAGGACCCCCCGTTTCCACCACGGACCCTCCAATGCCCTCTTGGGACCTCCGACCCCCTTCCCAGCCCCCGACCTCCCCTCCAGGACCCCTCCAGCCCGTCCGGCCCGCGGGCCGCGCACCTTGCGCTGCTGCTTCTCCCAGGCCGGGTCCAGCAGCAGGTCCCGGTCCCAGTCGTCCTCCTGGGCCATGTAGTCGCCCATGCCACCCCCGCCGCCGGCGCCATTGCCCGCGCTGCTGGGGCCGTACTGGTACGACTGGTTCGCCGCGTGGTAGTCCACCATTCCGCCGCCGCTCGCTTGCCCACCAGCCGGTCCGCTCCCGCCTCAGCTCCCGCCCCTCTGCCCGAGCCGCCGCCGCCGCCGCCGCTTCTTCAGCTGCTTCAGCCCGCCCTCCGCCTGGCGCCTGCGCACTGCCCCAGGCGCCTGCGCACCGCGCCGCCGCCGCCGCCGCCCTCCCGCGCGCGCGCGCCCGTCAAGCCCGAAAGGCACTAAGACCGCTCGGCGCCTGCGCAAAGTCCAAGTCCCCCTCGCCTTCCCTCAGCTCCCGTACGAGCCACGCCCCACCTCTCGCGTGAACGCGCGCGTCACTGCGCGTGGGCGGGGCCAGAGTCATGAATGATTCATGAGGCGAGTCGCGCCACTGGGCCTTCACCTGCTCAGGCTTGGGCTGTGCTGCATGGTTTTCCCATTCAGCTACACAAATTTAACAAATGTTTCTGGGACGCCTACTGTGTGCCAGACCATGTTTTACACAATGGCACTAAAGAAGACAGACATAAATCCCTGCACTCATGAAACTACCTTCAGATGAAGGAAGACAATAAACAAAACAATTTTTTTGAGACAGAGTTTCGCTTGTTCCCCTGGCTCGAGTGCAGTAGCATCAGCCTAACTCACTGCACCCTCCAACTCCTGGGCTCAAGCGATCCTCCTGCCTCAGCCTCCCTAGTAGCTGGGATTACAGGCGTGCACCACCACCCAACTAAATTTTTTTTCTATTTTTAGTAGATATGGGGTCTCACTCTTGCTCAGGCTGGTCTCGAACTCTTGACCTCTAAGCGATCACTCCTGCCTTGGCTTCCCAGAGTGCTAGAATTACAGGAATGAGCCACTGCACCCAGTCAAAATTGTAAGAAATATATAGCACTGTATATTCCAAGGTGATAAGTATTCTGGAGAAAAATCAAGCATGAGTTGGCATGTAAATAAACTCCTTGAGGTCGGCTCCATGGAGAAGGTGAACATTGGAACAAAGAGGAGTCACAAAATGGACACAGGAGTTAGGTTAGACTGGAATAGGTACTGGCTGGTTGGTACTGGGAGGTAGAGGATTCTTTGAACTTGTCTACCTTCAGTCATCCAACAAACATTTATTGAGCATCTACTATGCACCAGGCACTGTGCTTGGGTACTGGTCGTATAATGGTGAGCACGATATGCCTGGTTATTTCTCAAGTGGCTAACCTCATAGTGGGCAACAAATATAAGCAAACAAATACAGGTAAATGATGTTACTGCCAGCTGCGGACCTCACACCTGTAATACTAGCATTTTGGGAGGCTGAAGCAGGAGGATCATTTGAGGTGAGGAGTTGGGCGACCAGCCTGGACAACACAGGGAGAACTTGCCTCTAAAAAAACAAAAAACAAAACATTTAGGCAGGCATGATCATCCCACAGCCATCCCTGCTCCAGCTCACGGCACCTCAGCCTTCCTGCTGCTCGGGCAACAGGCCTTGCAGTCATCCCAGACTGCTCTTTGTAGTTACAACCCACATCCAGTTCTTCAGGAAATTCTGTCTTTCCATCCTCCCAGAATATTCCAAATCCACCCACTTCCCCTGCCTCCACAGCCCCACCCAGGTTCTGTCCACCCTCGCCTTGTCTTCCATTGTGGCAGCCTCCTCACTATCTCCTTTCCTACAAGAAGCCAGAGGGAGCCTGTGATCATGTCCCTCCCTCCTCTGCTCAGAACCCGCCTGTGGCTCTGCACTCAGAGTAACAGCCAAAGTGACAGAAAGAAGGAAAGGCCAATGCGGCAGAAGAGTCTGCCCAGCTGAGCCCAGCCCACTGACCCTAGTGGTCTTCCACATCCCGGTCCCCATTTCCCTCCCAGCTCACCCCCAGTCTCCCCCAGCTCTTTGGCTCCTTTACTGTTCCTGGGACCCATCAGGAGCCACGTTCCAGCCTCAAGTCCTTTGTATTTGGTTGTCACTACGTGGAGCACTCTACTCGGGGTACTGGATCCCCAGGGTACTGGATCCCCGTAGCTCACTAGCTCCTCTCCTGCAGGTCGCTGCAGAAATGTTACCTTCTCATTCGAGACTAACCTGAGCAAGAGCGATACCCTGTCTCTACTATAAATAGAAAGAAATTAGCCAAACAACTAAAAATAGAAAAAATTAGCCATGCAGAGTGGCACATGCCTGTAGCCCCAGCTACCGGGGAGGCTGAGGCAGGAGGATCGTTTGAGCCCAGGAGTTTGAGATTACTGTAAGCTAGGCTGAGAGCTAGAGCTAGCCACAGCACTCTAGTCCAGGCAAGAGAGTAAGACTCTGTCTCAAAAAAAAAAAAAAAAAAAAGCACCCCACACCTTCCCTGCTTGACTTTTGTCCATAGTACTTACTGCCATTTAACACGCCACAAGATTTATGTATGTATTGTGTGTCTTGGTCTCCCCAAGAATAATAGCCCACAAGGGGGAAACCTTTGTTTTGGTCACCACTGTATCCATAGTCTCTGAAGCAGTGTCTGGCACCAAGCTGAAGCTTAATAAAGCCTGGGTGAATGAATGGGCTTAAAACAATGATGGGGAATTTGAATTTTATTCTAAATGCAAGAGGAAGTCGAGGTAGGACTCTAAGCAGGGGAGGGCTGTGATCTGACTCAGCTGCTCACTGGGTCTCTCTGGCTACTTTAGGGGGACAGACTGTAGATGGTTGAGCACAGGGGTCCAGGGAGGAGGCTGTGACAATGGTCCTGCTGGAAGAGGGAGGCGTGGGAAGATTTAGGAAAGAGCAGCTAACAGGATTCACTATCATGACTTTGACTTTGTTGGCAGAATCCAGCCGGCTCCGAGGTTTTGGACCTGAGCAACAGGGAAGTGTGAAGCGCTTTACTGAAACAGGAAGGACCCGAGGGGAATGGCTGTGGGGGTAAGGACTGGAGTTAGACTAGAGCAGGAACTGGCCGTGTGACAGCAGGGGACTCTGTCACAGTCCAACTACTTGGGGTTGAAGACTAAAAGGCATGGCTCCTTCAGGCATGGGAGCTGCAAGGATCCCTCTATACCTCTCCCAAAGGCCCGTGAAGGGACCCAATGGCAAGGAGAGGACGGGGACAAGGCCCAGGCAGCAGCCTGCTTTCCTAGGGCATGCTGAGACCGGCCAAAGACTCCCAGACATGCTGGCGGTTTCCGAAGTTGGACTGTGCTGGGGTGCAGGTGGGGCAGGCGGCTTCTGCCTCTGAAGCCCAGGAATCTTGTGGTGGGCCTGGTCTGGGGGAAAGGCCGCCCAGGTGATGGGCCGTCTGCCCCTCCCTGCCTGTTCCCAACAGACACTGACAAACCTCCCAGACAAGGGCTGGGAGATGGAGCCGATGGCCCCAGCCACTGAGGTTTAAAGGCTCCTTTTAATTGCCAGCCTTGAGGCCACTTCCTGGCAGCCATCCACGACAGTGTAGTAATAATAGCTGGTGTGTCGCTCAAGGGTCCAGGGGCAGCAGGGGAGGGCCTCAGGCAGGGCCAGAAGGGACCAAAAGGGGTTCTGAGTGAGGGGTCCAGCCAGTGGCTTTGTCATTTCCGCACCCTCAGAGCTTCAATCAGAATGTATTAAATGTTGCACCCAATGTTAATGCTACTTAGGGGACGCAGACTAGAGAGAGTGTCTTCGCAGGGCGGCGATGTGAACAGAACTGCAATGTCTGGAGGTGTCCATGGAAGCAGCTGAAACAGCAACCCTGAGCCGAAGCGAACGTGACAGGCCATCACCAGGAGGCATTTGGAGACAGTAAGTTTGCAGTTTTAACAATGTGCCACGCTGTTGTCAACTCTTCCCAGGCATTAACTCCCAACTACTGAGGGCGATATACTTGCTACCCTCCCCAGCTGTCAAACTGAGGCACAGCAGGTGAACTCACCTGCCCGGAGGCCACTAGGCCAGGGCTTACCCTCAGGCAGCCTTCTCACACCCTCCCGGCTACTCAGACTAGACGTGGCTTCCAAAGGAGCCTATGAAGGTCGTTTCTTCTTCCCCTGCGGAGCAGCCATGGCCAGTTGTGCAGGTTGTACCCTACACAAGGGCACCTGCCAAGTGGGTGACTGGGAGTTGTCCCCACCCCCACTCAGGGTGCCTTTTGCTAATTTGCACGAGTTCATGCGTGGGTAGTAGTAATATCCGAATCCTCTAATCCACTCAGATCTGGCTCCCAGTGAGCTGCAGAAGCGCCCTTTCGTTCTGTCCCCAGGGTTTGGACACGGTGGCAAAGCTTCCACACCGGCACACGGCTCTAAGGAGCAGCTGCCAGTCTATACTAAGACATTAACACCTGTTGGGGCATTTCGTTTCCTCCATTTTTCCCAGGAGGCAGGCACCCAGTCCCCTCCCGCCAAAGACAAGACTCAGAGGGGAAAACAACTACCCAAAGTCACCCTGCCAGAGTGCCTGGAGCATGTGTGTGCAGAATGGGAATGAACACCGTCCCGCTGAGGACCAAGCTGGTGAGCTAGGGATCCCAGGGAGGAGGTGGGGACCCGGGGAGACTGGCCTGGCAGGAGGGGCAGCCTCTGGCTAGCTCTCACACTTTGTCTTCATGGGGGGGAAAATGCCAAATTTTTCATCGAGTTTCTCCAAACAGAAGAGTACTGAAGACTAGTTAGCAACCTTGGTGACAAACCCCGAGTCTGAAATTTTCAACGGCTCGTGTTTTCTAAGAGCAAGAGCAGGCTAGCCCCGATATAGGACCTTAAATGCAAGAGCTCATGGAACCTGCACGGCTTTCAGGAAGGCCCATTATGCTCCCCTTGCACAAATGAGGAAACTGAGGATTAGAGAGGTACAGTCGCTGGAGCAAGGACACAGAGCCACAGAGCCAGGATCTGAGACGGAGGGGACCCTCCCTCCACTCTCCCAAGAGGAGCCCAGGCTTCACTACATCCCGTTCATGCCCTTGTTCATGCCCTTCTCCTCGCTGGCTCAACCTGCCTCCCTACCCTGACCTCAGAGGGGTGGTAGGGGCCCAGCTGGAGCACAGGCCTGCTCCTGGGCTCCCTCTGGTGGGCATGGGCCAGAGGCCAGGGACGAGGAGAAGACAGCAAGAGACAGCAAGGCTAAGTCAACAAATCTTTATTAAATGCCTGCAGTTACTGGGAGGAGGCCATGATGCTGGACACACCTGTTGAAAAGAGAAGGAGAAACCAGA